CGTAGGTCTAGCTTTGGGGAAGAGGAAGAATGCCTCTCGGTCCCCCGTATGCCCCAATTGATGGGATGAGAAACATGCTAGTAGGCATGACAATGTATGACCATGAGAGATAGGGATTTTATTAAAGGCCCCTCTTGTTTGTCACGGATTAAAAAAAAAAAAAAAAAAAAAGAGGAGGAGAAGGGGAGAGGGAGAAAAAGAGAGTACGTACGCTCCTCACTCAAACCGCCACCATGCATGGCAAGGATGAGCAGCCCTGGTTCAACCGTTGGAAGCCCAAAAAGGGTGAGAAGGAGCAAGGGGGGGGGAGTAGGGCATAGCGATGTCGCCTAGCCCAAGTAAAGGCACGCGCGAAAAGACACGAGCTCATGACAAGCGGAGCATGCAAATGCTCAAACAACAATGGAAACACATCCAAAAAGAGAGGGAGAGAGAAAGAGCGAGAGAGAGAGAGAGAGAGAGAGAGAGAGAGAGAGAGAGAGAGAGAGAGAGAGAGAGAGAGAGAGAGAGAGAGAGAGAGAGCACACGAGGGAAGCATGATCATGGTCCCAAGCATCAATCCTCCAAAAAAAAAAAAAAAAAAAAAACGAGGGGAGGGAAAAGGAGAGAGTATGAGAAAGAGTTTGCCAAGGTGCGATCGGACGCCCTATATGGAATGACGACAAACCGTCCGTATGGTCCTCACTGTTGACGGTTCATTTTTCGCGCATGCATGTATATGTCACACGCATGAACTAATTAAGGCGTGCAACCTGATTGTTCGCGTTCATTTCCTTGCCGCACATACAGGAGCACAACAATACGAGGTGCCTCGCGACGATGGCCCGTACGAATTCGCCGTCACGGACAAAACCGTCACACGGATGTGCGGTCGGCTTCGCTCGACCTTTGCGTGGTGGAGCTCATGGTGCCCTTGCAGCCTCGTCCTATCCATCATCGCCAACGGTTACTGGCTTCCATGGAGCCACGGCCCACCACAGGCCTTTCGGGAGCGTAACCACGCTGGTGCATACGCGCATGCGTCGTTCACACGTACTGCCATCCAAGAACTCACAGAGACCGGAGCTGCAGTCGAGACAGCCGCAAGCGAGCTTACGTGCATAAGCCCACTTAACGTGGTCGAGCAGAAAGAAAAATGCAGGCTCATCCTCGACCTGAGAAAAGTCAACACAAACCTCATCGTCCCAAAATTCAAGTACGAAGGACTCAGCCGTGTGGCAGACGTGGCACGCGCTGGGGATTGGATGTTTTCTATTGATCTCAAATCCGGGTACCATCACATCGATATCCATCCTTCATGCTGGAAGTTTCTTGGTTTTGGATTCGATGGGCGCACTTACTCCTTTCGTTCATTGCCGTTCGGTCTTGCGACAACCCCATTCATCTTCACGCAACTCATCAAGCAGCTAGCCCGTCGCTGGCGGGAGCAAGGCATCCGAGTAGTACCATACGTGGACGACATCTTATTCCTTTGCCAGTCAAAAGCTCACGCGCAGGCTACTTGCCACCGTGTAATACTGGACCTTAAAGCAGCAGGTTTGGTGATAAATGCGAAGAAATCACAGCTGTCACCATCGCAACACCTTCGATTCTTGGGTGTGGAGCTAGACACGGCCACAGGCCGATTTACCATCGGTCCCGAACGACGAGCCTCACTACATGCAACCATTCGGAACCTGTTGAGCGCAAGCAAGGCATGTCGACCCGTCTCAGTCCGCCAAGTGGCCAGAATCACAGGCATGCTCGCGTCAATGGGCGTCGCGCTGGGCGCAACAGCTCGTGCTTTCAGCCACGCCATGCTACAAGTGATCAATGACGCACCTTCATGGAAAAGCAGCGTGATCATCCCCCCAAACGCGGCTGAGGAGCTAAACTTCTGGCTCGAAGAGTTTGACAGGTTCAACGGTGCACCGTTTCACGTTCGAAACAGCTACGACGCTGTCATCCATGTGGATGCTAGCGCTCACAGTTGGGGCGCCACTTTGACCACATTTCCTGGCGGCCTCGAAGAAGCTAGCGCAACAATGCCAGAGCCGCTGCGAGCGACGTCCAGCACACGGAGGGAGATCGAAGGTGTGCTTTGGGCACTCCAAACATACTCCAGCAAGATCACGCACAAACATGTTCTTGTGCGGGTGGACAATCAGGGCGTCTTCTTCATCCTTCGCAAAGGTGGCTCGCGCAGCCCCGACCTTACCACGGCCTGCCAAGACATCATTCGACTATGCATGGAGCACGGCACGCGTCTAATCATCGAATGGATCCCACGGGAGCTAAACTCACACGCCGATGAGCTCTCAAAAGCAGTCGATCATGACGACTACTCGTTGAAGACGCCGTGGTTCCGCATCTTAGAACGGCGTTGGGGTCCCCATTCCATCGACCTCTTTGCAAACTCCCGCAACTCCCAGCTGCCACGCTTCTGCACTAAAATTCCTCATCCACAAGCCACCGCAGTCGATGCATTCTCGCTCGCATGGACATCAGAAAATAGCTTTGCGTTCCCCCCGCCCCATTTAGTTCCGGCCGTCCTCCATCACGCACAGCGCACCCGTGCATCGCTCACATTGATCATCCCACACTGGCCGGGTGCAAACTGGTGGCCACTTTTACAACCTTCCCCACGCAACTGGGCACCGTACATCCACGCGCACATTCCCTTGACACACGGCAGCCAATGCCTGGCAGCTGGAACACATTCCGCTGCTTTTTCAGGCACTGGATTACCACACAGCCCAATCATCGCACTTCGGGTGGTTTTTGACTAATTGAGAATGTACGCGCCTTGTGTCGGGATCGCTCCCAAAGCTACACAACCAACTCATCAACATGCTCACACAATCGCGAGCGAATTCGACAATCCGTACATACGAACCGTACTGGGCCAAGTTTCGGGCCTTCTGCACAAAGGTGGATCTTCCATTTCTTCCCGCATCCGACATGACCCTCGCGCTATACTTGGTGCATGCAATCCAACGCAAAGCAACCTTGTCTGTAGTGCAGCTCACGTGCTCGGCAGTCAGCTTCGCCCATCGCATGACTGGAAGCAAATGCCCGACTGTCGGACCGTTTACCACCCAAGTGCGGGACTACGCGAAACGACACTGCCCTCGCCCTAGTCGTTTGAAGGAGCCCGTATCAATCCAACAAGTTCGGGACATGTCCGCGAACTACTTGCAGTCGGACAATCCCGCTGAATTTCAGAAGGGGTTGATCCCTATCCTCATGTACTCCGGATTTTTGCGATACTCCGACCTCGTTGCCATCCAGTGGCAAGACATCCAATTCGACGATGCAGTCATGTGGATCCTCATCCCACACTCAAAAACGGACCAGGCTGGTCGTGGAACCTGGATTCCCATCGCCGCAACGACGGACCCTTGTTGCCCCGTGCGCTGCACCCAACGCTTCCTCCAACTCGCTGGCTATGGCCCTCATTCCGAGGGGTCGTTGATTCGCGTTTTCAGCCACGCTTCAGCCAACAAGGGCCAGGCCAAGCCACCCTCGTACACAACGATCCGAAACTGGTGTAAAGAAGCATTCGCCAAAGTAGGACTTGGGGAGCAGCAGCTCGGCACGCACTCCTTCCGAAAGGGCGCTGCAACCGTAGCCGCCAACATCGGCGTGCCGGACAGAATCTTCAAAAGGATGGGCAGGTGGCGAAGTGACACCGCCAAAGAGATGTACGTCACACCATACGTCGGACATCTTATCAAGGCATCCCGCGACCTACAGGACCCGACATACGCGCTGCCCCCAGAACAGCACGCAGAGGCACTCTTACGCAACCGCAAGCCACCACTGGCCATGTCTCAGAGGCCCCAGTTGCAATGAGAACGATGCCAAATTATAAGGACAAGAAAGCAAGCTTTCTCAATATTATAATTTTTAAACACATTGATGTTTTTCAAAATTGTGTATTGTGAAAGCGAAGCTGACTGTACCGAATATTTGGCAGCGTCGAAGCGCGCTAAACGCCCTTCTCCAACTACAAAAACCGTGGGTTGGAGTTCATTCCCTCCACCCACGTTTCTCGTTTTCCAACGGCTCAATCAACATCCCCACCACCCACCCCGGACCAACTACAAGACCACAGCTGCTTGGACGGACGACTCCATAGCTAGTAATATTTGCATGTACTAGCATGTGTTTACGAACGATGCATATGTTGTAATAAGCCAGTTGCAATGAGAACGATGCCAAATTATAAGGACAAGAAAGCAAGCTTTCTCAATGAGGGGTTTCATTATAGAATCAAAGGTACAAATAGGCAAGAAGCAAGACAAGAAGGTGCACCACCAAACAGGATGATTAGGATAACTACACTACAGCTAGAACTACATGCAGTTATAACAATATAATTTTGACACGAAGTTCAAGAGTCCAAGATCCAAGTTCCAGTATAGAAGATTTCACTTGAACACTTTACATTCTAGAAGTTTCTGGAGCTGATATGTGGGAATTTTAGGTGGACTTCAGATCTTCTCTGTACGACTTTCTTTCTTCTTTTAATTTGAAGTTTGGTTTTGCTGTTTCAACTTTATTGAGTAAATTTAATGGACCAGAAAAAAATTCCGGACCAGTCTTGGTGATCGTTATTTTTAGCAGTGCAGTGAGCTTGCTTGCTGCTGATCCGCTCAGAAATTCCATCACACTTGGTCTCTCTGTGACCTGTAGGTTGGAAGCAAGCAAGCAAGGTGGTTTCCTTAGTAAAAATACTAAGCAAAGCCAATAGCTGAGGCGGGACAGTGGCGTAAACCATACTTGCTTACTAACCATACATCCAATGAACAATGGACATTAGCGCACCAACAAAACCAAAATTCCTGCCTAACATTCCCTGCAGCATCCCACTGTGTCCCTATGCGCCTGTTGCAGGAGCTTAACCCTGTGGTGGTGATTCAGGCAGCTCAGGCACTTCAAACCCGTTCAGGCAGTTCAGAAACATAGGCAGTTCAAGTGGTTTCCACGGTGTGTGCAGTTTCATTCAGCTGAGCAGTTTAAGCGGGAACCTTGGATGCAATTTTCTCCTTGGACTTCTGCAGCTTGAGCACCTTCTTTACGATCTTCTGCTCCTCCACCAGGAATGCGCGGATGATTCTGTGCAAGGAGATAGAGGAGCAATGCAAAGAAGGAAGGTGTTAGGGTTAGAAAGTGACTCAGAAGTTCATTCTTCACATGTTTCTGCTCCTCCACCAGGAATGCGCGGATGATTCTGTGCACGGGGATGCAGCGAGGGAAGCGGAGAGAACGGTGAACGGGTAATGGATGGGCAGAGGAGTCGCAAGAGTGGTGATGGGCAGAGGAGAATGATTGGTGAAGGGGAGAGCGGGAAACGGCGGACGGGGATCAGGGGACGGGGAATGCGGCAGGGGGGAATCGAGGAGGTGGGGGATGGGGGCGGAGGGGCGTAAGTGAAAGGACAGAACGTGGGCTCAGGGCAGAACGACTTTGACGGAGAACGGGTGACGAGAAAATGAGGCAATGAGCAAACGCGGCAAAGGAGTGCTATAGACGTGAACATGCTTTTCCCCTTGCATCAGCTTCCGCGTACAAGCATCTCTTCGTCACCCCTTCCTCCCCCCATCCCCTCACGCTTCCCCCTTCCTCTCCCCTTCATTCTGCTTCCGCCATCCTTCCGATTCCCCCTATCTGATCCCTTCCATTCCCCTCCGCCGCCTTTTGCATCCTTATGCATTCTACCTCCCGCGATCTGGCGCCTCTTTCACCCGCATCATTTCTAGCACCCCGCGCACCGCGCATCCCGCGTCTATCCCCTTCCGTCTTACCCCGTGCGACCCCCTTCCATTTCCCTCCTCCCCCTCCCATTCGCTCCCCTCCTCTCCCGCCTTCTCTCCCTCTTTCCCACCTTGCTCCCCGCGCCTCACCTCTCGCGCACGCATTTCCCGCAGATGGCGCCGCCGTAGATGCGCGTGACGCTCTTCTGCTTGCGCGACATCAGGTTGCGCGTGAGCTTGTGCGCGGGGAGCGCGGGGACCTGCGCGCATGGGGGAACGCGAACGGGAACGAGACAGTCAGACGCGCTGCAGAACGCCGTGCGACACATAAGCGCGCGCGCGGGCAGCGGGACTTGACCATGTCGCGCGATATTAAACGTGATAAAGTTGACTGTTGAAGGGAAAAGAATAGAGCGGCTGTAATAGTAGCGGGACTTACACCAGGGAGGATGCGCGGGCACTTGCCGCACTTGACGCCATTGGCTCTCTTGGCGATGTACTGGATTGTGAGCTTGCCTCCTGCTCCAGTCAACGCGCAGCAACAGAGCGGGACCAACATGGGCAGATGTAACATGGGCGGAACACAACGATTGAGAGGGAGATAAGCAGGAGAATATGAACGCTTTCTCGGCGTCCCAAGATTCCTCGATCAGGGGATAAGCGAGGGATATGGGTGGTGCAATATTCGTTTCACGCGCCAGGCTATCTACATGCCGGATGCGAGGTGAAGATACGATCCATGATCAGACGCAAGGGAAAGCGCAGTCAGCCAGGAAGAAAAATTTCAAGTCTACTGCATACAGCGTGCGCTTATAAGGAGTCCGCAAGATGCCGACACATAGATACTGCGACGCAAGCGTGGCATGCGCGGAACGATCTAAAACGGAACGAACAGGAGGTAATTAGGGTTTCCGAAGAAAAGGTAAGGTGAGAAAAGGATCGTGCCTGGGGTGCGGATGGTGCGGCGGAGGTTCGAGCGTGTGGCATAGGGGTGCCTGCGGCGGTATGTGAAGCGCTCGCCCATGGTGCTAGGGTTTCGTGCGTGCTACGCCGACGATGGCTGCCGCTGACGTGTCAAGAGGCTCCTACACCCTCGTGGGTGAGGTAAGGTTCTAGGGCGTAGTGAGAAGAGGCGAGGGAGAAAGAGGTAAGAGGAAAAGTGAGAGGGGATTTGAAGGGGAGGGGAGGTTGGGCGTGCGCGGGCAGCACACGGGGGGGGAAGAGCATGGGGAGAAAGGGGAACGAAGGTGGGGGTGCGCAGGAAGCGGAACTGCAAATGGAAAGCGGGGAGGTTGTGAAGCGGGGTGTGGAAAGTGGGGAGGTTGGGGCGGGTTTTCGGGGCGAATGGGGAAGGGAGAATTGCAAAAATGAGTTGGAGTGGTAGGAATCGGTTCCGGAGGAGGATGTTACGGGTGGTTCGATTATGGGGAAAGTATTTCAAGTATGATCGAGTTTCTTAGCGGATACCGTAGATACTTCATGCGGTGTACTGTAGACTCTGACATCTGACACTAGCGGGATTCTTGATTTCAAGCACTGGCTTGAGACTGTCCTGGCCTTGGAGTTCGCTCTACCTTTTCTGCAGCTGAACGTGTAACTAAAATGCGGTTGGCTGTGATAATCGTATATATCAGAACGTCTTGATAGCTTACAAGACGGTTGAGTACGGTTTTGAGCTAGAAGTACATGACACTCTCTGGTAATCAGTGATCGTCAATGCTTCAGTTGCGCCGTGATCCCCGCACGAGCTAAGCAGGAATCAACGATTAGAAAAACTACCGATGCTTTGCCGTCGCGCTTTTTGCGAAACCATTGATTCTGTTTGCAAAGTCATCGGAACGCCCTACCTTTTCAATGCTACAGTATCCTTCTCGCAGCGACCTCTCCTCGCGGAGTTCTTTCCCTACGACCTAGCTCGATTTGAACCAGCACTCTGCTTAGAGTGCTACGTTAGCGACGGGAAGTCCGAGATTGAAAAGTCCGACTCGTTTGTCCGTTCGCGCGCCTCGCGATCGCGTCACATCGCCAGGTCATAGCTTGACACGTGTCATGGCCAGCGTGGCAGCGGCGATCAATAGAGCGTCGTCGTCGAAAGTCGACGCGGATCTATGGTGGTCTCCACATCGTGCCTTGCTGGCGCGACTCGAGGCGATTGACAGTGGAGGGAGTGACAATGGCGAGGACGATGGTCGCGAGCTGGTACGTGTTACGAGAGTGAGCAAAGTTCGTAACAAGCTCTGTAACCAGCAGGGTCCAGTGCAAAGGTCGAGTGCAAAGCGCGTCGGACACAGGCCCGACGGAGACTGACGGAGACTGACTACCGCGTTTGGTTCGTACGTTATCTCTCTCATCGTGTGAGTCTCACAATCAGAGTCGATACACGCTATTGGAGCCTCTGATTGTAGTCTGACGCAATCAGATCCCTCACTCAATCTTGACATTAAGTCTGTCTGACTCTCTTGTAGTCCAGGCACCTTGAATCTGACGCTTCACTTTCAGATTTAGCGTCCTGGTTCTCACGAGACCTGCATTACCCGAGACCAGCCTTCATAGCTTGGAATCAGGCCTTTACACTTCAATTTCTAGCACCTCTTCCCCATCTCTCCCCTCCCTGATCCGTCTCTCGCAGGCCAAAAGCCTATCAGAGCATCACGCGTGGCTGCTGCACGGCTTGGCGCGCTTCAAGCCTCCCAGCAGCCGATCCCGCGACGCCATTGGCGCGGCTCGTCTGGAGGTGGGGGTGGGGGGAGCAGCTGGCGCTTCGCAAGTGACGATCCCAGTGGTTGGACGGCTAAGGGAAGCGGCTGTGACTGCAAGCGCTGTGATTGTAAGTGGGAACGGGAAGGAATCGGGTTGTAAGGATGTATAGAGGGTTATAAAGCAGTGACCATCCCGTCACTGTGTGGGGAGTCCAAGAGAAGCATACACTTTGGCGGATAGAGTGGGGGGAGGGGAGAGGGCGCTGGCTGATTGAATCGTCTCAGAACTTTCATGTCAATGCATGTGTGTGTGTGTGTTGTTTATATGTGTGTTCACAGGGGTTGGATGAGACGCAAGCATATCTGTTGGCGGATAGGGTGGCGGGAGGGGAGAGGGCGTCGGTGGGGGAGGCGGAGGGGGAGGGCGCAGGGAAGGGAGCAGGAGGGGGCGGAGGAGAGAAGAAAAAGGGGTTGGAGGAGAAGGAAGAGCAGCGGAGATCGGTGCAAGAGGTATGTGTGTGTGTGTGTGTGTGTGTGTGTGTGTGTGGGTGGGTGTGTGTGTGTGTGGGTGTGTGTGTGTGTGTGTGTGTGTGTGTGTGTGTGTGTGTGTGATGGGTGCTCAAGTACGTGCCTTGCTTCTTGTGGATTTGCATGTGATCATATGTGACATGCTTCTTGGAATGTAAGGCACTGCTTCACAGTTTATGCTGCGTGACACAGATTCCCTTGCTGTTCCTCCCACTCTCCGTCACAGTTCTTGTAGCGGATCCACAGCCCGCATGCACAGCACTCTGCGTGTGTGTACGTTGTGGCCTTGTATCAAGAGGGCTTGTGAGACAGACTTCTTACGAAGAATCATCAGTTTCTCCTTTCCTCCATCCATTCACATGCTTGCTCTGAACCGAACGCGTGCAGATTGTGGCGCTGTATCAGGAGGAGAGGCAGAGCCTGCTCAAATGCCTGCGGCTTCTGCTAGCCATGCAAGGTGCCTGCCTGGTGCCGTGCTTTTGCAGCAAGATGCTGCCGTATTGGCAGCATGGTGCTTCTCACTCATTGATGCTACTTTTAGAGTATGATGCTTCTCATCATGGTGTTTGCTTCTCACTCAGAATTCATCGTTGCAGGGCATGAGAGCATGCTGTGAAACTCATCCGGACCCCAACTTCTCCTCCCTGCCCTGCCTCCGTGGTTGACTATCCCCAGCTGATTCCTCCTCCCCGTATGCAGCTGCCATGGAGGAGGAGGTGAGCGCCCTGCTGAACGAGGGGTTGCTGTCAAACGTCATGGCTCAGCTGAGGTTGCTCCCACGCTCTGACCCCCCCAAGGCCCTGGTACGTGCTGCTGTGACGCTGACATGATGTCATGAGCAACGTGGATGAGCAACGTGGATGAGCAACCTGCTGTTTGTTGCTGTTTGTTGCTGTTTGCTGGTTGTATGATGACGACTTCATACCTCATAATTCTAGGCTCTAAATCTGAAACAAGTATGAACTCTCCCAAAGGACTTGAGGACCGCAACCGATGTTTCCTACTTTCAAGGCCTACTGATTGAAATCCATCTTTCAAGCTGTTTTTCAGCTTACCGTCTTGATCTAACTCCCATGCTTTTGGCTTCTTCCTTTTTTCGTCAGGATCGGGCAGGAATGGCAGGATGGGCAGAAGCATCCTCGTTAGAAGCATGCTTGCTTCTAGACATCCTCATCCTCATCGCCTCCTCTAATGGCTGCCGTGCTACAGACATCCCGGATATAATCAATCTCGTTCAGGTGCCCATCCTTGATTCAGTCCTACCATCGATTTCAATCTCGATTGGTTCGGCACACTCTCTTTCAATTCACTTTTTTCATTCTCTCCTTTTCCGTTCTCCCTCTTTCTTTCCACCTCTTGTTCCCTCCTTCGCTCCTTCCATTCTCTCTCTCAATGCCCACTTTTTAAGTGATGTTTAACCCCGAATAATCCAAAACGGGAAATTCCCTTCCACTTTCCCGTCCTCTTACCTGACCCCTTCTCACCCCTTGCCGACCCCTTCTGACCCCTTGCCAACCTCTTCTCACCCCTTGCCAACCCCTTCTCACCCCTTGCCAACCCCTTTTAACCCCTTGCTGACCCTTCTGGCCCCTACCAGGAGCTTTTCTTTGGCTTCACTCCATCTCCACCGCCCCTCTCCTCATCTCCATACTCCACCCCTCCCTCCTCCTCCTCCTCGCCCTCCTCCCCCTCCGTATCTCTCGCCTCTCTAGCCATTAGTGCAGCGGCAGAGTCACTCCTCTCCACCGCACTGCACCGCGCTGTGCTCCTGCTAATTGCAGCTGTGGACGTGGAAGGGGTGGTTGTGGCCCTGGCGCAAGGGATGCATTTTAGGTACGTTCTCAGTCTCCTGCCTTTTCTCTGCTGCTCCTGCTGCCGCCAAGGGAGAGAACGTTAACTCATGTGTGCCTTCTCATGTGTTCGCCTCCTCTCCCCCCATGTTCTTGGCCCACTCCCACCCACAGCGCCTCTCAACACCCCCTCTCGTCCCCCTCCGCCCTCTCGGAAGTGGATCAGCGCCTCTCTGCGTGGCTCTCCTGCCTGCTCTCTGCTGCTGCCGCTGCAGCCAAGGGGGCGGGTGGTAGAGGCCAAAGCGAGGAGCTGGATGGCGGAGTGGGGGGACTGGCAGAGGAGGATTTGGAGGAGGTGTATGGAGGAGGAGGGGGAGGAAGGCTCATGGGGTTGGATGCAGTGCTGCCGCTGGTGGGGGGGGCTGCCAGTGCGGGTGCCGGTGCCGGTGCTGGGTCGGATGTTTCTTCTGTGCTGCTCGCGTGGGGTCTCATTCGCATGCTGCTGCAGTGGCTGCCGGATTCCTCTCACCTGCCGGTACGGTAATACACAGGAGACGTAGGGGTATTCCAGCTATAGTACTTGTCGCCTCAGCTGCTAGTAACCTGATTGATGATGCAATCATCACGGGAGAATGTTTTCAGCTGCCTGGTAGTGTCAGTCGGTCAGTACAATAGGCCTGCCTGACAAGCTATAGGTCTCCTTTCAGCTGCAGGTAACACGTGCCCCTCACTCACGTTGCACACAGCCACGCATGTAAATTGCCTTCCAAGCAATCTCCATGGTCCCCAACCAGTCTCCGTGGTTAGGGACCAGGGACTCACTCTTCAGATGATTCTTGAGGCGCCAGTCCTTAATAATCTAATCTTCTCGATTGCCTTCCAACCAATCTCTGGTCATTCCAACCACTACTCATTCGTCAGAATTCTTTGTAGGATCTTGCGATGCTGCCTGCCGGCTTGCCTCTCCCATCTCCTCCCCTCTCTTCTCCTCTGTGCCATGCCAACACTGCAGGCACCCACGCTGGACCCGGGTGTGTGTGTGCAAGCAGCCTATGCAGCAGGGGAGGGGCGCTCGACTGGATTTTCTCCTCGCTGCTCTCCTCTCCCCTCCTCCCCACTACACCCGCCACCTTGACTCCACCTGTCTGCTTGCCCCTCCCTCTTCCCCCCTCTGCTCCCATTCCCACAACATTGCAGGCACCCGCGTTAAACCCGGGGGTGTGTGTGCAAGCAGCCTATGCAGCAGGGGCACTGGACTGGATTCTCTCTTCGCTGCTCTCCTCCTACCTCCCCTCCCACCCTTCCAACGACCCTGTGAGTCAATCTTCTTGTTTAGATGTTTTTTTTTGTGAGCAACTTGCTTGTATTCAACTTCTTAACATTCAGCACCCTCAGTCCACTTCTCAGCAGTCAACTCCTTTCAAGGTCACCATTCTAATAGTTATCTCTTGAAAAGGTGCTTACTTTCTGGGCCTCCTACCTCCCTGC